GGGGGGGGGGGTATATATTATACTCTAATTATAATAAGGAACCCCCAACAAATAGTATAGGTGATTATTAAGGCCGCTACATTAATGTTGGGATTGGGAATGCCGGGCTTGAACTGGTTTTGTCTCTCACTTCTGCTTAGCTAGAGCGCTGCAGGCAAAAACTTAGTCCTGAAGTCGAAACCCTGAAGTACTGTTTGAGGGGCAGCGCATACAAGCTTTTCTCAGTCCGGCAAAGATGCCACAGGGAGCGAACTCCAAGACGGCATCGAGTCCAACTGCTTGTATCCATAAGACTCTGCCAAACATCGGGTTACCTCTCTGACCGAAAATTGTTTTGGCCTCTTCACTGATACATAGATATGTTTATATGTATAAACTACCATACCCATATTGCATTACTCGTCTTTTTTTGCAAGTGGGCTTCTGGGTCTAGGTGTGTCCTAGATTCGATGATGCAGAATATCCGAGAAGCTACTGTCCTGCCATCCCTAAACCCTATAAACCCTAAGTCCTAAACCCCTGCACCCCAAACCTTAAATCCTAAACCCTACATCCTAAACCCTAAACCCTAAACCCTACATCCTAAACCCTAAATCCTAAAACCCGGAGCCGTCAGCCCTACTTAGTGATTTCGAACCCTGAGCCGCCTCAGCAGAGTCTCCGTCTTTGCACACTTTCCGCAGCCTCTCACTCTGAGCCGGCCAAGCCATGAACCTCTTAAGTACTTGGGCTTAGGGTTTAGGGTTTAGGAGGTTCATGGGTAGTTCTTAATGGGTTCCTTAAGGGGTTTAGGGTTTAGGGTTTAGAGTCTACTTGGAGGTTCATGGGTAGCTCTTAATGGGTTCCTTCAAGGGTTCCTTAAGGGGCTTTGAGTTTAGGGTCTACTTGGAGGTTCATGGGTAGTTACAGTATAAGTGCAGTTATAATTCCTCTAATATTGGTTATCTCTATAGTTCTCCTACTTATAACCCTACTTCTAGCTACCCATGCACCTCAAGGGTGAAGCCCTAAGCACACTACCATTAAGATCCCCGCTGTACACTTCAAATCCTCAAAACCCAAACCTCCTTCTGTAGTACGCTCTTTCAGCCCAAAAGCCTGAAATGATGGGTCCTCGTGGAGTCTCAAACGATCCAAACCCAAACCCGCACTTTCCTAAAGCCCTATGAGCCCAAGGCATCTTGACACCCTAAACCGAGGCTCTGCCTTGCTTGAAATTACGTCCTAGTTTCTGATTGTATATATATATATATATACAGACAGGTCGTTAGTTAGTATAAGTACAAGTATACCCCAAAGCACCATTCCGATTTTTCAAGGCTCTATACCCTAAACCCTAAACAGACTCTATAAAGAGATCGTCACCCCAACTTTAAACAAAAAGCAGACTCTATCCCTTAGCATCAAAATAGCCCGAAAGCCTTATAAAATAGGGTCTTTGGGCCCAAAAACCTTCAAATATGAGTCCTTTGAGGGTAAGGGTAGACTTAGGCTCGAAAACCCTAAACCCTAAACCCTAAACCCTAAACCCTAAACCGTCGGGGAAGCCCGGAAGTTTCGATGTGTCCATCAGGATCCCGCGCTGAGCGCGCTTCTGGGTGCGGAGCCGGGTGGCTATAGGTTTTAGGGTTTAGGGTTTAGGGTTTAGGGTTTAGGGTTTAGGGTTCAGCAGGGGCCCCCGGGGTTTAAGGCTCGGGGTTTAACATGGTTTAACGTTTTAAAGGTTTAGGATTCAGTGTTTAGGGTTCAGGCTTTCGGGTTCAGGGTTTGGAGGTATAGGGTTTAGGGTTAAGGTTATAGGGTTCAGGGTTTAGAGGTTTAGGGTTGAGGGTTGAGGGTTTAAGCCTTCAGGTTTAGGTTTCAGGAGCTCTGGGTTTCTTAGGTTCCTGGAGTTGCAAAGCCCAGAGACCCTCGAAACCCTACATGTCCTGTAAGTCCTGTATGATAAACCCTACACAGCCCTAAGTCCTAAACTCGAATTAAGCCAAGAGCCCAATACAAAGGCTGTTGAAGCCCTCAGTGATGGTTGCCGCCTTGGCTTCATGATTGGGAGCCTCAGTCTAGACCCTAAAACCTACACCGTACGGTGCCCAAGCTGGTGGACCTTGCTCTCAGAAAGCGTGGTCCAAATGAGGCAGTGTGAGCCCCACTGTAAGCCCTGGCCCATGCGGGCTCGTCACCCACAAAACAAAGGCGTAAGGAGTCAAGCCGACATGCAGTCCCTTTCGTCGCAGTTTAGGGCTTAGGGTTTCCTCCTGTGCTTAGGCTCACCCTGCCCCGGTTCGGGGCTTGTCCCCTAAACCCTAAGCCCTAAACCCTAAACCCTAAACCCTAAACCCTAAGCCCTAAACCCTAAGCCCTAAGCCCTAAGGCCAAGGAAGCTTTATGAAGTTGAACCATGAACGACCAAATACGAAGATGTGGGCTCGTAAACTCTTCAACTTATACGGCCCCTACATGCTTAACCCCAAGCATTACCGCGATGCTAAACCGGCCAAACCCCTTAACCGTAAGCCCTCAACCCTAAACCCTTAACCCTAAGCAATAAACCCAAAACCCTTAACCCTAAGCCCTAAACCCTAAACAATAAACCCTAAACCCTTAACCCTAAGCTCTTAACCCTGCGCCGAAAGCCCGCAGCTCTGATTCACAAGCCCGAGACCCAAAGCCACAGACCCCTAAGCCGGACGGGTCATGACCCTATAAAACGAGTCTTACAACCCTAAACCATCCTAAACCCGAAACTGCCCCTATAAAACGAGTCTTACAAGCCCCAAGCCCTAGAAATGAGCCCCAAAAACTTAAGTTTTAGGGGTTTCGGTCTCCGGGCCCGATGAAATCTTATAATCATGGCCCAACCTAAAGCACCCAAGGCCCTAGACACTATAGTCCTCGACCTTTCCCTAAAGCCGAAAACCCCTGGCAATAGAAGTGTGCAGCTTTCAGGGTACTGAATTCATAATTTCACTGGCTGTAAAGAGGTTTCTAAGGCTACGAGCGCGCCACCTCGTGGCGACAGCAAAGCTGCACAAGGAATTTCGCGGCCCGCGAAACTCTCAGCTCTGCATGTGGGTAGTTGTCAAAATTATGGTCCCTTTTGGGGTACCCTAAATAATAGGTGCCGTATTATAATAAGGACCCAGAAAGGGACCATAATTTTGACAACCACCCATATGACTTACACACGGCTTAGGCACTCGGCACATGTCAAGCGGGGAGACCTGGATTGGAAAGCCTGCAGAAGCAGGTTCTCGAAGCTGCACTCGAAGGCACCGTCTTGAGCGTCAATCCTCAAGCAGACATCAGTTTCATTTGGTCTACTTGGAGGTTCATGGGCAGCTATAAGTGGAGTTATACGTCCCCTAGTATAGGTTATAACTGTAGTTACCCTATTTATTACCCTACTTATAACTACCCATGAACCTGCAAGTGTAGGGTTTAGGGTTTAAAGTTAGGGTTTAGGCCTTTCAAGCACCCTGAAAGCCAAGCCCTACATAACTTAAACAAGGTCCTCGAATACCCTAAACCCCAACTATCCCTAGACCCGAAGAATGCTAGACCAACCCAAAACCAAAACTCCAAACCCTAAACCCAGAACCCGAAACCGAAAACCCTAAACCCCAAACCTTAAACCCAGAACCCTAAACCCAAAACTCTGAAGCCTGAGCCGGAAACTTCGGCAGAGGTGACAGCACTGCTCCTGCTGCAGCGAAGGAGGACCCCTTTGTTCCGTTGCAAGCCAAGACTTGGGGATACGGCTGATGATATAAATCCTGCATTGCCCATACTAATCAGGAAAATTACCATAATTCCCATCGTTTAGGGTCCTTGAGGTAATGCAGGGTGTATACCATCAACAGTATGACTATGGGATGCTGTTATAGGGCTGAGGGCTGCAAGGTACAGGGCCTTGGGGTTGGTCAACCCTAGTACTTGTGGCCATCCTGGGCAATTCCTGATCTGGGGCGCTACGGCGACTACCGTTAATTGTTTGGGGTTTTTAAATCCTAGAAACAGCTCAGCAGCGGGATATGCAAGAACAAGCCGCCAATTTTCGAGAACATGGAGACGCGGATCAGCCAATCCTCCGTCATTTGTAGACAGCCTGGTGAGCCGG